CAAAAATGCTTAGTGAATAAAGAGTTAAAAAACTTCATTCAAGATAGTCTCATTGCAGGTTAAGGGTTTAGTCATTTTCTATGTGGAAATAACATTCGTAGGCTGCGTTTGTTTACAGAATTTGATAGCAAGAGAATATTTTATGTTTCATACAAAAATATGAATGATGCTAATAATTGAAAGAACCAAAGGCCAGGTTAAGACCAATTAATGCAACACCAATTGGTTTAATAATGCACATTATAAATTTAAGGGACATTAAATCATTTTTAGGTGCTTAAGTTAACTGGTTTTATAATTTTAGTATTGTGATGGTATTCATTATCATTAATGCTTCATTGGTTTCTTAACGCCACAGCTCTGGTGCAAGCCCTTTCTGCAGTAGTTCTTGTTATTCTCTTCCTGCTACAGAAATATGGCACTTCTCGAGTGAGCTTTATGTTTTCTCCCATCATGGCTGCATGGACTTTTAGCACTCCAGTTGTTGGAATTTATAGCATTGTACGTCATTACCCCAGTATATTCAAGGCACTATCACCTCATTACATCTTTCTTTTCTTTTCAAGAAATGGAAAAGAAGGGTGGCTGCTGCTTGGTGGTACCATCCTCAGCATCACTGGTAAGCCTTGATTTTAAAGTACCGAGTTATAATTATTATGAATCAGTTTATTATATTTTCTGTTTGTCTATTTCCAATGATCACCGGCCCTTAGGCATTATCAACACAAACAATTAGCTGCACAATTTAAGTTGTTGTCATACCATTTACTATGCATTAACAGGAAAGTTGAAAAGCTAAGAGGAAAGAATTTTAGAGGAAACCGTTAGTCAATCCTGAGAATGCAATTATACAGAACAAAAAAAAAAAAAAACTATGATGCAAAAATTCTGGTCTTCTGTGATGTGACTAAAACATGTGACAAGTTGTAGTTATGTTTTCTTTGCCATGCCCTTTTCCATGAAAATTGGGAGTAGTCTTTTAGTTGAAGCTTTATGCAAATCACATTCATCATAACTCAGAATAAGCAATAGCATCATCTTGAATGAAGGAAAAAGCAGAAAACAAGAAAATGATGACAGATTTACATTATAACAAGATTCAAATTTATGATTTAAAATTTAATCCTTGTTTGACAGAGTTAGAATGCATTTTTTAGTTGATTTTGATGGGAAATTACCTTGTTTATTTATTTTTATCAGGAAAGAAGTTAATTGTAAACTATTAAGAGGTTTGAACCGTTGACCTTAATCCCCTAAAAAAATAAGGTTTTGAAATTAGTAAGTATTGACTCAGCTAAGCTCTTGTTAGAAATACTCATCTTTTATGTTTTATGGTCTATACTTGCTTTTATCTTTGAATTGTCCCAAGTTTGATGGATTAAGCATAGAGAGCAATTTTGCATCCTTTTAGTTTATTTCACCTTTTTTTAAATGTAGAACTCTTTTCCATACCCTTTGATGTTGCTATCATGTTATACTCGTAGGTTCTGAAGCGATGTTTGCAGATATAGGCCATTTTAACAAGAGTTCCATTCAGGTAAACCATAATTTCTACCCTGAGACTTCATTCTTTTTTTGTAAATAATGGATTCCTCATACTATCTTTGTCAACAGATGGCTTTCTTCTTTACAATATATCCATCTCTGGTTTTAACATATGCTGGGCAAACAGCATATTTGATTAAGAACCCTGATGATTTCAAGGATGGATTTTACAAATTTATACCAAACGCTGTTTACTGGCCAATCTTCATCATATCCACACTGGCTGCAATTGTTGCCAGCCAATCTCTGATATCTGCAACCTTCTCTGTAATCAAGCAATCTGTTGTGCTGGATTATTTTCCTCGAGTGAAGGTGGTGCACACATCTCCCAACAATGAAGGAGAAGTTTACTCTCCGGAAGTGAATTACATCCTTATGATTCTTTGTGTTGCAGTGATATTCATATTTGGGGATGGAAATATTGCGAATGCTTTTGGTATGGTAAACTAATACTACTAAGATCTTTATCTATTTTTGCACGCAACAGCCATTATTAATTGCTTTCTTGTTCTTTAGATCTATTGATGCTTCTCTGGTCACTTAGTTAATTATTCATGGCCTTGTAATACTCCGTCTTCTGGTAGTGCCTATAGATTGTAGAAGATTGTGGGTAATCAGAGGAACGGTAACTTACATTTTTTCTTTTGCCAGCCTTTTCCTTATAAATTTGTATATAATGGTTAGCCTTGATCATGTTCCAGTTGAATTCCCAACCAAATTATATGATTGTAACCTAGCTTCCATTAACACCTCAGTACAATGTCCTTGTTTCACCTTACTTAGAAGGAAGGTCAGTAACGAATTGTACCTTTACTGATAATGGAGTCTTTATTGTGAAAATATTATTTTTTCTGGTTAAATATTTAACTTTTTCTGCATATTATAAATTTATGCAATAAAGCAGCAAAACTAAATGTTTCCTTTTTCTTTGTTAATTATCATACTGTATGCTGCTTCTAAAACCAAAACTACTAAGCAGCAGGTCAACATTCTTCATGTGGCTTATACAATAGTCTAACTGTACCTTGTTGCAGGTGTTGTTGTTAGCCTAGTCATGCTCATTACAACTATATTACTGACATTAGTCATGGTCATTATCTGGAGAACATCACCGTTGCTGGTTGCACTTTACTTCTCTGTATTTTTCACAATGGAGGGTGTTTATGTGAGTGCAGTCTGCACCAAA